CTTCCCCCAACTCCCCCCCCCCCCCCCGCCAAACCATTTCCCCCCCCGCAACCCCCGCAACCCGCCCCCGGCCCCCCCCCACTCGGCTGCCGACCTCCCCGCCTACACGACAGCATCCTTCCACTGTCATGTCCTGACCTAGCCACCACCTCCACGTACAACGACTCACTATCAGCTACACTAGACTCTCTGGCACCCCTAACCACACGCAACATCAAACCCAGACCACTCCAACCCTGGCAGAACGACCACACTAAACGCCTCAAACGCCGCAGTCCGTGCGCTGGAGAGACTATGGCGCAAAACCAGGTCCCCTCATACATTCTCCCTCTACAAATCTTGCCTTCCTCACCTACACCCTCCTCCCTCCACGCCGCCAAGCAGGCCTACTTTGTTAACCTGATTAAACCACCCCCTCCACCTCCCCTCGCCGACTCTTCTCCAACCTTCAACTCCCTGCTCCCCTCCCCCCCCTTCCTCCACTCAGTACCTCACTTACCGCGCCCGCGAGATTGCCACTCACCTCCCACAGCAAGATTGACGCTATCCGCAAGGACATAGTCAACTTGCAATCTACCCTCCCCATCTAGCCTCCCCCCTTCTATCACCCCCTCATCTCTCCCCTCCTCTGACCTCGCAACGGCACTGCCCCCCACCACACCCAAGGCCCTGCCTACCGTAACCCCCCCCCCATCACTGCACTCCTTCAGCCCTACTACCACTGAGGAAGTCAGCAGAGTCTTCTCAGAAGCCCGTCTCACAACCTGCCCCCTGGACCCTATCCCCTCTCAACTCCTCCGGTCACCCCCCTCTTCCCTCATCCGCTCCCTTAACCCACATCTTTAATCTCTCCCTCTCTACTGGCGTATTCCCCTCCCCCCTAAAACATGCGCACAATCACCCCCCATACTCAAAAAATGCCCTCTCTGGACCCCCACTGACCTCAACAACCTCAGACCAATTTCCCTGCTGCCACTTCACTTTCCAAGCTCCTTGAGCGCTTGGTCTTCGATCGCCTAAGCGCCCACCTAGATGACAACAACCTCCTTGACCCACTACAGTCCGGCTTCCGTCCCCTACACTCCACCGTAAACCTGCCCTCCTCAAAATCACCAACGATCTACTAACCGCCAAAGCCAAAGCGACTACTCTGTCCTCCTCTCCTAGAACCTCTCTGCGGCCTTTGACACAGTCGACCACCCCCTCCTCCTTAATAAACTACTCTCCCTTGACATCAGAGACACCGCTCTCTCTGGTTCTCGTCCTATCTATCCCAACGCTCCTTCAGTGTCACCTACAATGGTGCCACCCTCCCCTTCTCTCCCCCTCTCTGTTGGGGTCCCCCAGGGCTCTGTCCTTGGACCCCTTCTCTTCTCCATCTACACCTCCTCCCTTGGCAAAACTCATACACTCCCACGGCTTCAATTACCACCTCTATGCTGATGATACTCAAATCTACCTATCCACCCCTCACCTCACCCCCTCATTCTCCGCCCGCATCACTCACCTCCTAAACGACATCTCTGACTGGATGTCGCTCAATTTCCTCAAACTCAACCTCTCCAAAACCGAGCTTCTCATCTTCCCCCCAGCCCGCGCCCCCCCCCCCCATCCTTTCCATCACTACCAACAACACCACCATCAATCCCGCCCAGCAAGCCAAGGTCCTTGGCGTCATTCTGGACTCAAACCTTTCCTTTCAACCTCATATCAAATCTCTCACAAACACATGCAGGCTCCACCTCCGGAACATCGCCAGGATACGTTCCTTCCTTACCCCAGACACCACTAAACTACTAGTACACTCCCTGATTATCTCACGCCTGGACTACTGCAACTCCCTCCTCACCGGCCTAACCCCAGTGCAGGCTCTCCCCCGTTCAGACCATCCTGAACTCAGCGGCCAGACTCATCCACCTCACCAGCCGCTCCACCTCTGCCACCCCCCCTCTGCCTCTCCCTCCACTGGCTCCCCATTGCCCAACGCATTAAATTCAAATTGCTCACCCTGACCTATAAGGCCATTCACAACACTGCCCCTAACTACCTCACCGATCTGATCCCCAGGTACCACCCTAACCCGCACCCTTCGCTCTTCACAGGACCTTCTTCTATCTTGCTCCCTGGTCTCCCTCCTCCCACGCACGACTGCAAGACTTCTCCAGGTCCTCCCCCATCCTCTGGAACTCACTACCCAATCCATCAGACTGTCACCGTCCCTCCTCACCTTCAGGCGCTCCCTGAAAACCCACCTCTTCAGGGAAGCCTACCCCACCCTCACCTAACAGCCGCTGCCCCTTCCCTCCTCCCTACCACTTCATCCCCCACAGCCGCTTCCTCCGGTGCCTCTACCCCCTCCCTCCTAGATTGTAAGCTCGAAAGAGTAGGGCCCTCTAACCCCTTGTGTACTGTTTGATGTTACTGTTCTGTTTCATGTATTGTCCCCCCCCCCATTGTACAGCGCTGAGCAAACCCTTTGGCGCTATATAAACACGATAAATAAATAAATAAATAAATAAATAAATAAATTATAATCACGACAGGCAGCACAACCTGGCAGTGGCCCAGAGTAAGCTAAATGAATTCCAGCAGAAGAGTACTCCCTCCAGCACCTGCAGGCAGCAAGAAGAAGAAAAAGGAAAAAAGAGTGAAGTGAAGGAGAAACTGTTTGTGTGAAGATTTAGCGTGGAGGCTCCTACTTCCCAACTGCTCCTATTTATCACGCCAAATGATTTTTTTGCTTTGGTTTATTTCACGGACATTGGTGTTGAACATTCTCTATATTTTTTTTGAGTATGGGACTATTTTTATGATACATGCTATCACTGGAATGAGATTTCTTTATGTAATATAGTGTGTGTTTATTAATTTTTCGGCTGATTGGCACTGTAGCACTGCACATTTAAATGTAATATTTGTTGGGGATTGGTATCATATCCTTTGTGCTGGTTGCTTTTTTATGTTTTTCACCTAAGCGCAGAGTTTTCCCACACTTAAATAAGTTACATTAACATTATTTTCTATGCAAGTTATTTATAAATGGTCAAAGCTATTAGTTTCCCCCTGCTATTGATTTTCTTTTGAAAGCTATTTTCACTGTGAATACCTGTTATTATGTATATAAGGGCCAAAGGGAGGAATCACAGTGCTTGGTGGGGGATGCATCTGGCATGCCAGGTATTGTTTTGGATGTGAGAATACATTGAGTGTTGTAGCTCTGCAGCAAAGATCACTGATCAAAAAGTGTTGCTTCCTGAAAAACCTGCTGATTATGATATACACCTTCAAACTGAACACACATTTAATTTTAGAATGACCGTATCACTTAAGAATCTTGAGAAATATGAAATTAAATGGATTCTAAAGGTTGCTGTCTCAACCAATGAGGAGAGGGAGTCCTGAGATAGCCAAGACTCCAGTGCACATCGTTGAATTGAGAGAGGGCTTAGGTGATTAGGGGGAGCTGGGGGGGATGCTGCACAGAGAAGGTATTTTACCTTCATGCATAGAATGACTATAATGTATTTAATCACATAATATTTCTGACATGCTACATGAGTTTAACAGGGCTAAAAGTGTTTTGCTACTGCTCTTTGTACTTAGTGTCTGGTACATCTTGTTGCACTGTCCAACAATAGTCAGTCAGCATAGATGGATTTCAGTTGCCCTGATTCTGTTTTTCCATTGTGTAATGTCCTGGTGAATACATTTACCATGTTCATCACTAACTGCTAGATTTTTGGGAAAGAAGTCCAAGTGTGAATGCAGAAAATGAATCCTCAGTGACATTTTGCACTTCATGGTTTTGCATGCCATGAGAAGTTTGTTAAAGAGCTGGAGTGGAATGTACTTTGGTGCTGTCACGTACTTGATAGGAGACTGAAATGACGAGGTTGGCCTCACTTGTGTCACTAGCCCTGACCCCACTGGAGGTGGAACAGAGGGTGTCTAGGGACCAGGGGGACAAGAGCGCCAGCAGATGTTGTTTGCAGATCTTGCAGTTGGAGACTTTGGAAGACTGATGAACCTCTGATTCAGGCACAGTAGTAATATTCAGAGCTGGTATGGTAAATCGCCAGGTGTGCACCAGAGCAAGTCAGGAAGCTGGGATGGGAGACAGGAGCAATGTCATAGGAATAGCCAGGCTCATCAACGGGCAGGCAGCGAGGCACCAAATCAGAAGCAAGCCAAAGTCAGGAGCAGAGCCAAAGTCAGGAACCAGTATCAAGCAGGAGAGTAATCAGAGTCAGGTCAGGAACAAGCCGGGTCAGCAACAAGGAAATCACACAGGAAACAACGAGGAAACGGGGAACAGCTGAACACCAGTCAGCACTCAGCACAGGCAGAGGCACCTTTTAAATAGTCCGTCTGGCGCCAATCTTCGCCGTAAGTGTGCGCGATCGCGCATTTCTGTGCGCATGCGCACGTCTATTTGCCAGCTGTCTCACGGGAATTCCCTTACAGGCGCTCTGTAGTTGCCAAGAAAATTCTCAATTATATCCTAGAATGCTTTCCAGGTGATTTTCTCTGGCTCCACTAACAAATTTTCGAGCTGCTTGTCATGGATGACTTATCTGAGGACCACTGAAAATGCCTTATTAATCTTGGCATGGAGTTAATGTGAGAAACATCTGCCTGAAACAAAAACCTTGTACTATGTTCAACTTTTTCATTAAAATCTTCATCAATCCAAGCCTTATGTGGAAGTGGAGGCAAAAATATCCTTGTCAAGTGAACATGGAAAATGGTTTAAAAAGGAGGATATTCAATTGAGGGATATTATGGAAGGGCAGGAATTGAGAACACTTAAGGACTTGAAAAAGGACAAAAGGGAACTTTTCATTAAGATAGACGAGTGGAGATATCACCAATTAAAACACTTTGTCGGGAGTCTTCCGAAACCTTTGAGATTGAGAAAGGACTGGAATTTGTTTGAGAGGTTGTTGGAATCATGTGGAGATGGGAAGCGGGGCACTGCAAAAGTTTATAAGATTCTCACTGAGTTAGACACACACACAAAGCCAATGTACATAGCAAAATGGGAAAGGGATTTGGGAATAGAGATAGATGAAGACAAACAGAGGAAAATATATAGACTAACACATGAGAACGTAAGCATGAGAGAGGTGGAGGTAAATTATAAGTGTTTAATAAGATGGCACTTGAGTGTTGGCGGGGCTGTGGAAAGATAGGTACGTTATATCACATATGGTGGGAGTGCCCAAAGATTCAAGGTTTTTGGGAGACAATAGTTCACTTAATTGGGATAATCTCTGAGATAAAGATAGGATTGGATCCAGAGTTGTGTCTATTACATAGTACAGAGCTATCAGTGAACAAATACAAGGATTCGGGTATATGGTATTATCTAAATGCGGCAAAGGGTCTGATATCTAGGTATTGCCATAGCTCAGAGGTGCTGAGAGAAGAGGATTGGGTGGAAAGAGTGAATCAGATATGTAGGATGGAGAAACTGTATTATATGCAAGAAGACAAGATGGGGTTATATTATTGGAGGTGGGGAAAATGGGAAGACTTTGTGCCCAAGGTGAAATACATGAAGCAGTAGAGTGGGATATGTGAAAGTACCCCTTACTTAGGAAAAGATGTAATGGAGAAATGCAGAGTGGGTGGTTTTATTTTTGTGGGTGGGTAGGTTTCAGGGTGGGGGGGTATTAGATAGGTGGAGGGGAGGAATGGAAATAACGATAGAAAGGGATATAACTGATGGTTTTGTATGTTATATATGAGAGTAATGATGGAACATGTATTTTATATGGAAAATGAATAAATATTTAAATTAAAAAAGAAAGAAAAAAGGAAGTTCAGATTAACGGCAGTTCAGATTAATGGCAGTTCAGATTAAACAAGGCAGTTCAGCTCAATGGCAGTTAAGATTAAACAAGCAGCAGCAGTTTCAAAGGATCAACGGCAGTTCAGATCAACGGCAGTTCAGATTAAAATAAGCAGTTCAGATTAAACAAGGCAGTTCAGCTTAACGGCAGTTCAGATCAACGGCAGTTCAGAGTTCAACGGCAGTTCAGCTCAACGGTGATTGAAATAGGCAGTTCAGATTAAAATATGCAGTTCAGATTAAACAAACAAGGCAGTTCAGATCAACGGCAGTTCAAATTAAACAAGGCAGTTCAGCTTAATGACAGTTCAGCTCAATGGCAGTTCAAATTAAACAAGGCAGTTCACCTCAACGGCAGTTCAGATCAAAGGCAGTTCAGATCAAAGGCAGTTCAGATTAACCGCAGTTCAGATTAACCGCAGTTCAAATTAAAACAAGGCAGTTCAGTTTAATGGCAGTTCATCTCAACGGCAGTTCAGCTCAAAGGCAGTTCAGCTCAAAGGCAGTTCAGATTAAACAAGGCAGTTCAGCTCAACGGCAGTTCAGATCAAAGGCAGTACAGATCAATGACAATTCAGATCAAAGGCAGTTCAGACTAAACAAGGCAGTTCAGCTTAACGGCAGTTCAGCTCAACGGCAGTTCACCTCAATGGCAGTTCAGCTCAGTGGCAGTTCAGCTCAACAGCAGTTCAGATTAAACAAGGCAGTTCAGCTCAACGGCAGTTCAGATTAAACAAGGCAGTTCAGCTCAACGGCAGTTCAGATTAAACAAGGCAGTTCAGCTCAACGGCAGTTCAGATTAAACAAGGCAGTTCAGCTCAAGAGCAGTTCAGATCAAGGGAGTTGAGATGAAAGGCAGTTAAGCTCAACGGTAGTTCAGATTAACGCCACTTCAGATTAACGCCACTTCAGATTAAAGGCAGTTCAGATTAAAGGAAGTTCAAATTACAGGCTTGCCTGATTGAAGGCTCCTCTGGTGGATCGGTGTGTCTGCTGGCTGGGCTGCTTTTCAGGAGCAGGGCGGAGCACAGCTGCTTGCTTGGTGGGTCTGTCCATGCATTACAATTGTGAATGACTAATGGCGATCCTAGGAAAATAAACAGAGTGCATATAAGATACCACAGTGACAGTCAAAACTGGAAGAGGGCACTGGTAATTTTCACCCCTACCTATATGAGATGTGTTCCTAGGCATATTCAGCTACCAATTTTTTTTTTTTTATTACATTGGTAGCTGATTGTGCATAGGTGTGCTGTTTTTTGTTTTTTTTTACTACTTTTTGAAATATTTAGGCGCCAAAGAGCAGTTTAATAAGATGGCACTTGAGTGTTGGCGGGGCTGTGGAAAGATCAGGTACGTTATATCACATATGGTGGGGGAGTGCCTAAAGATTCAAGGTTTTTGGGAGACAATAGTTCACTTAATTGGGATAATCTCTGAGATAAAGATAGGATTGGCATCCAGAGTTGTGTCTAATTACATAGTACAGAGCTATCAGTGAACAAATACAAGGATTCGGGTATATGGTATTATCTAAATGCGGCAAAGGGTCTGATATCTAGGTATTGCCATAGCTCAGAGGTGCTGAGAGAAGAGGATTGGGTGGAAAGAGTGAATCAGATATGTAGGATGGAGAAACTGTATTATATGCAAGAAGACAAGATGGGGTTATATTATTGGAGGTGGGGAAATGGGAAGACTTTGTGCCCAAGGTGAAATACATGAAGCAGTAGAGTGGGATATGTGAAAGTACCCCTTACTTAGGAAAAGATGTAATGGAGAAATGCACTGAGTGGGTGGTTTTATTTTTGTGGGTGGGTAGGTTTCAGGGTGGGTGGGGGTATTAGATAGGTGGAGGGAGGAATGGAAAAAACGATAGAAAGGGATATAACTGATGGTTTTGTATGTTATATGAGAGTAATGATGGAACATGTATTTTATATGGAAAATGAATAAATATTTAAATTAAAAAAGAAAGAAAAAAGGAAGTTCAGATTAACGGCAGTTTCAGATTAATGGCAGTTCAGATTAAACAAGGCAGTTCAGCTCAATGGCAGTTAAGATTAAACAAGGCAGTTCAGCTCAACTGCAGTTCAGATCAAAGGCAGTTCAGATCAACGGCAGTTCAGATCAACGGCAGTTCAGATTAAAATAAGCAGTTCAGATTAAACAAGGCAGTTCAGCTTAACGGCAGTTCAGATCAACGGCAGTTCAGATCAACGGCAGTTCAGATCAACGGCAGTTCAGCTCAACGGTGATTGAAATAGGCAGTTCAGTTTAAAATATGCAGTTCAGATTAAACAAGGCAGTTCAGCTCAACGGCAGTTCAGATCAACGGCAGTTCAAATTAAACAAGGCAGTTCAGCTCAACGGCAGTTCAGATCAACGGCAGTTCAAATTAAACAAGGCAGTTCAGCTATAATGACAGTTCAGCTCAATGGCAGTTCAAATTAAACAAGGCAGTTCACCTCAACGGCAGTTCAGATCAAAGTCAGTTCAGATCAAAGGCAGTTCAGATTAACCGCAGTTCAGATTAACGCGCAGTTCAAATTAAAACAAGGCAGTTCAGTTTAAATGGCAGTTCATCTCAACGGCAGTTCAGCTCAAAGGCAGTTCAGCTCAAAGGCAGTTCAGATTAAACAAGGCAGTTCAGCTCAACGGCAGTTCAGATCAAAGGCAGTACAGATCAATGACATTTCAGATCAAAGGCAGTTCAGACTAAACAAGGCAGTTCAGCTCAATGGCAGTTCACCTCAATGGCAGTTCAGCTCAGTGGCAGTTCAGCTCAACAGCAGTTCAGATTAAACAAGGCAGTTCAGCTCAACGGCAGTTCAGATTAAACAAGGCAGTTCAGCTCAACGGCAGTTCAGATTAAACAAGGCAGTTCAGCTCAACGGCAGTTCAGATTAAACAAGGCAGTTCAGCTCAAGAGCAGTTTCAGATCAAGGGAGTTGAGATGAAAGGCAGTTAAACTCAACGGCAGTTCAGATTAACACCACTTCAGATTAACGCCACTTCAGATTAAAGGCAGTTCAGATTAAAGGAAGTTCAAATTACAGGCTTGCCTGATTGAAGGCTCCTCTGGTGGATCGGTGTGTCTGCTGGCTGGGCTGCTTTTCAGGAGCAGGGCGGAGCACAGCTGCTTGCTTGGTGGGTCTGTCCATGCATTACAATTGTGAATGACTAATGGCGATCCTAGGAAAATAAACAGAGTGCATATAAGATACCACAGTGACAGTCAAAACTGGGAGGGCACTGGTAATTTTCACCCCTACCATATGAGGATGTGTTCCTAGGCATATTCAGCTACCAATTTTTTTTTTTATTACATTGGTAGCTGATTGTGCATAGGTGTGCTGTTTTTTGTTTTTTTTTTTTTTTTTTTACTTTTTGAAATATTTAGGCGCCAAAGAGCAGTACTAAAATGGTGTGGTTGTTTTTTTTAAGGTTATTTGTTTGTTTTTTTTACTCTTTTCCAAATCATTTTGCCCCCAGAGCATAGCACAAAAAAATGTCATTTACCTTTAGCTGGTATAGTGATGGGCACCATTGTAGAGCAGGCCTCTCCTCGTGTCCCCCAAGGCGCTGTAGAGCGGGCCTCTCCTCGTGTTCCCCAAGGCAGTGTAGAATGGGCCTTGTGTCCCCCAAGGCGGTGTAGAGCGGTCCTCATTTCCCCCAAGGTGGTGTAGAGTGGGCCTCGTGTCCCCCAAGGCGGTGTAGAGCGGGCCTCGTGTCCCCCAAGGCGGTGTAGAGCGGGCCTCGTGTCCCCCAAGGCGGTGGAGAGGGAGCCTGTTGTCCCCCAAGGTGGTGGAGAGCGGGCCTCATGTCCCCCAAGGTGGTGGGAGAGTGGGCCACGTGTCCCCCAAGGCGGTGGAGAGCAGGCCTGGTGTCCCCAAAGGCGGTGGAGAGCGGGCCTCTTGTCCCCAAAGGCGGTGTAGAGCAGGCCTCGTTTCCCCCAAGGTGGTGTAGAGCGGGCCTCGTGTCCCCCACAGCGGTGGAGAGTGGGCCTCAAGTCCCACGCGGTGGTGAAGAGGGTGTCTCCTCTCAGCGTAGGAGAGCGGACCTCTCCTGCACGTGTCCCCTCAGCGGCGCTGCCACTGTAATGGCAATGCCGTGGAAACCGGAAGTTGTAAACCGGAACTCGGCTTCACAATGAGGCTTGGAGCACATGTGCAGTCGCTCCATGCTTCTTCATCTGTGCTCGCCAATCGCAGGCACTCGCCACAGAGGAATTTCTCCTCGCATTTTGGGATAGTACACCTTCATCTTCTACTATAGAAAATTCTGATAAGGCTAGTGAGGAAGAATTACAACATTCTGAGTCCTTTGCATGCACCAGCACAGTACTTGACCCCAAAAATGTCTGCCTTTACAGTGAAAGTTACCTGACTATGGGTTTTTCATGGACAGGTGATCCACATTGTCCAATTCCATTGCGCCTTATCTGTGGCAAACAGCTTACAAATTCAGCAATGACTCCAGCAAAACTGAAAAGACACTTTATTACAACCCACAGCCATTTGGTATCTAAAGGTGCTGATTATTTCAAAGGGCTATTGGAATTTCAAAGCAAGCAAAGTACAGCTTTTGTTAAAAAAAGTCTCCATTAGTAAAAAGGCTCA